AAAATTAATGCCGGGCGGTGGCGTAATTCCATACTGTAAAATGTGAAAGGACGATACTAAATCATAATTGGAACAGATCGATATTTGACGGAAATCTGAACTGAAGTCTGCTGAAAGTACAGATTCATGCGTGATATGACAATGCTGAATTCACGACACTGACTACATTATTCGCAGGGCGAAACCCATTAATTAGCCAAATGCAGCCTACCTCAGGTCTGTGCAAACACAGCAGTAAACCGATATTACGTAATTGAATTATCTCCCTGTCTCCTTATCCTCCCGGTTCAGACTAAAGCTGAAAAAGAGAGGACCCCTTTCAGCGCTATTTATTCAAGTTTTTCGCCGGTCGCGCCGGCTCGCCACTCGCGGCGGTACCGGATCGGTATCGAATGTCCCCCGCCTTTTCTGCCCTCTGAATAATTCACGCTTTACACTCAAGCAAGGGCATGGTCGGCTTGTAACACTGTAACAATTCCTGCACAAGGAGAAACCAAACATTGACTGTTCCATTTCATTCAGCCCGCATATCGGTGGCCGGGAAAATTGCCCCAGATTTCTTCTGTTCTCCTCACGTTCCGAGTCGGCACGAGGAGGGGCCAGAATCGTCTTCATTATCATCCAGCGCGGCGTCCCAGATTGCAGACTGCCGCTCGTAGCTATGCGCGTGGCGGTGATAAGCGCGTTTGTCTGCGCACGGGGGGAAAAATGACGGATCGCCCGATAGCCAGAAGCCAATTTCATCTTTCTCCATTAAGTGTATCCTCGGCTGTTATTTGTTATTGACAGTGACCAATAAAACTGCGGATGAAGGCCCGTCTCGGATGGCCGGTAACGGTCATTGGCACTCGACGTTAAATCCTAGCAGCATTGTCAATAACTCAAAATAAAACGAACATTGCTGCAAAGTCGTACCTGACATGGGATACTGACTGTCAATACAACTTCTAACATTAGGTAGCTTTGTTTTCATTACAGTATACTTCTTCTTGGGTAAAATATATTCTAATGTAATATAGTATTATATTATATAATATTCCTATATAATATATCAGTTATTTATTATTCACGTTGTATCTCATATGTCATAGCTTCTATTTTCACTGGTGTGTATTTACGCTCGTCTGCCATTTTGACTCAGACATGACAGTGTGCAATAGACAAGTCGACATCACCATAATTATTCATGATTATGCATCAACGAATTCTTCTGATAATATTGTAAGTGAATTTTAAGGCTTTTGGCAGGAATGGTATATATATATCGATGTAACTGATAAAAATTGCTCCGTGTCATCTCATAGAAACTGCGTGAATTTTAAGTTTCCTTACTTCTCCAAGGGGGGGTCATTTTTTGGTAAGTACTGTCATATTTTTGATTAGGCCTTGAATATAGTTATGAATAATGTCTTTTTTTGACATGGTTAATTATATTTGCCGTGTATGTTTACATCCTCAAAACCGTCTGTGTAATATTCAAAATTATATGAAGCGATTAATTGCTGGGTTTATATACTTCTGAGTGGCTTAATACCACCACAAAAAAGGTTTTTCCCAAATCTTTGTCAAGGCTCATAAATGTATTCAAAAATGGATCGATCGATGATTATTTTGTCACATTTTGTAATTCTTTGTCAAAGGTATAGGCCTACATGTATTTATGTTAGCGGGAACTTTGGCTGGCGCGTCTCGACCAAACACGCTCCCGCTTCGCTATATTCGCATATTAACAGATTAATAAAAATGCACAACTCGCCTTAAAACGATCTTACATAATACCCGCTCTCGTCCAATGCCAAGCACTGACTTCCCTCTTGTTACCCACACGAGTGAAATATGAAATAATAACATCCAATATCGGTCGGCGCTGTCGAGTCTGGCCGGCCAATATCGGCCACGCAAAGACAGACTTGAACGATAAGCCGGCATGAAATGATGAAGGCTGGGCCTAATATCAAAAAACGGCCACAGTGATAAACCAATAAAGACAAGAAAAGGGAGAGAAAAAAGCACAGTGACCCACGTTCTGGGTGTAACACGTTCAATCTGTCTTTTTATAATCCCTTGTGTTTATACAGGCCTAGGATACAAGTTAGCGTTTAGCAGCCGCGCGGTTCTTTAAAGATAATTCACCTCGATGAAAAGAGGGAAAAAAATCTCCGCCGTCCCTCCTTATTGTAGTTTTCTGCATTATAGCGTAGAGCCCCGGCTCGAAGCTCCCCGCAAAATGCTCCCAAAGGTCCGGGCTTTACTTCTAAGTCACTCGCTCGCGGGAAAACAAACAAAATAGACGGGTCCCGTGCCAGAAGTGGTACGCTAGGCGCTGGGCTTAATAGCTCAGTTAGCCTGTGGGGAGCGCTGGAAATTTTCTCTTTTTTTCTTTTTAGAGAAAACACAGACAGAGTGTAACAAGCCTGATTTACTTCCATCGCTAGCTTTTAACGTCCGTCATAGAGCCATCAGTTTTTGTCACTTTTTGGACAAATTGATGAGTTATAAATGGATGTTTCTGGTGAGACGGAGACGAGTATACCCCGAGATCTGGGATGTATCATTCCAGATTATGGTGATTTTTGTTTGACTGTGTGTATGAGTTGTAATATTCATGATTTTTATGGGTTTATTTTTGTAAGATATGTTTTGCAGTATTAACGAATTGTATATTTGTAAAATGTTTGCGTGATCGTTCCTGCGTGAAAAATACACTTACCGTTTTGCGAATTCATCAGCTCATTTTATTATGTGCATGCTTGACAGTATTTGGCTGCTGGTCTGTGTCTTGGCAAGCATAATTTTTGGTGCGTCCGCTAAATTTGTCCCAAATCTGTACCATGACTCGAAATCTACATCAAGAACCGGGTATTTCCAGGACGTATCTCAATTCAAAGCAGTGAAGAAATTCATACATACTCGCGTAGTCAGGTGGGACACGACTGTTATTAATAAAAAAATCTACTGTACATTAAAACCCGACGACTTCCACAATGCAACACTCTCGTATATGTTTTCCTATATTGCGTGGCACCGCCGGCTAGAGGTAATTCATTTTCGGCATCTATATCGTTATCTCTTTGAGTGCCGTTCTTGTATTCCTGTATATCACGTTGCAAGAAAAACATTCCGGTTTCGGCGTTTCAATGCAGGGCCATGCTGTAATGGTGCACACTGTCGGTTTAATCGACAAGTTGCCACTTTGTGGAGCAGTGGTTTTTTTTTTCCCTCGAAATGGAAGGTACAAATTGTGCGTGCGTTTTCCTTCTCCTGTGGACTCCAGTCATTGCAGTGTTAGGTTTTAATGTGGTGATCAAAGCGTAGTCGGTGAAGCAATATTTCAGTTTCTAGGTAAACTGAGACGGTTGCGTTTGGCAACGTCCTTGATGTGCTCATGCGCTCGTGAGACGCGCTTGACCAGTTTGATATGGATTCCGTATGGTGGAGATGAGAGTACACGCTAAGTCTAGTAGAATGGTTTCCATGAACGTTATTCGATTGGGACAACTTACCTTGAGTTTCCACAGGCCCCATAAATTTCAAGAGATGAGAACAATTTATAGAAAAAACACTTTGTACGGCGCTTAATTAAAGTTAGCATATAAAGCTATATGTGGACTATAAACATCATTTATAAACGATGACTCACCGTGCTCACATATTATAAACTTTATAAAGCTGCAGTGGAATTTATAAAATACAAACCTCAAAATGAACCTTTTTGTCTCATTTAACCTCATTTTCAATGTTTATTTCCCTCTTTCAGAGGCCAATTTTCTTTTGGGAGGTTTGCTAATGAATATTTCCATATTCATAAGCCAGACTGTGATGTCATCTCATGGAAGAAAGACTCAAAATTACATTTCGCTTGTACCAAAAAGTACTTCTGCATTTTTTCAGATTTTCTTGGACTACTGTTTTTCTTTGAGATCTTTTCAGTCAGCAAATTCTTGAATCAGAATTTGAGCAGTAGCACCTATCACTGAACCATACCTTCCCTGGATGACATCACAGCAACAGCGCCTTCAGTCATAAATGAAAGCACGGAAAATTTTAAATGTTTAAAAAGTGCACACTTCGATGTATGCCATACATTGATGAAGGCAGATGATGCAGAGTTCCAGTAGAGGTGTTTTTTCTAATCCTTTTAACGTTCTTTATTGTGTACGTAGGTTGAACAACCCCCTGCAGTTTTAATATGACGAATGGTTTATGTTTTTTATACATGTAATTCTAAACGTGTCCACTTTTATGTAAGTTCAAATGTACTTCGGCCTAGTGCCGCGAGATTTGAATGTTTTAAATACACCATTATGAATGAATGAATTATGAATGAAAAACTGTATCTAAAAAAAATCGTTGCATCTGTATGTACACTATCCGAACGTCAATACAGGAAAAGACAGTATCACAGTAACATAAATCATCCGCATAATTTAATAAACTAAATAGTAAATAAAAATCCACCAATCCCTGATTTCAAACCCACAAAAAGACCAGAAAAGCTGCAGTAATGGGGTAGTATGAATAGATTGTTGCGTGGGCAACATTCTATGTCTATTATGTAACACCACAAAACAGGTTTTAAACATGAATTGTGACATTGCGGACGTCACTGCAATTCGTTATATTCAGTGGAGCATTTTCAGACAAAAGAACTTTGTTCAAGCTCTCATGTTGGACAAAGCAAACTGGCGTTGACCCTTCTCGGATCAAAAGAAGAAACTTTGAACCACCATTTCTAATTGAGGAGGCAGAAACGCATTTGAATGGTTGAATTACAGCACTCAATCGGCACAGGTTTGTACCATAATTCATAGCCGTCATAAGCTTTGCAAAAAGGAACCTTTGGTGTAAGTTTCAAGAACTAATTTAAAAATGTGTAGCTTTCATTGATTGGAAGCGGTCATAAACCTATTCATCCACTTCACTGCAGCCTACAGGTTTGGGGTTATAGGTCACATTTTAGCCTTCGGACAATTGAGGTTAAGTTCAAAGAGCGGACTTACTTTTCGTAGTCGAGTTTACAGTAGAGTTTCCGGTCCCGGGCGAAACAGGAATGAGAGAGTGGGGAATGGCAGACGCAGCACTGTAGACAGTGCTCATGCCAACAGTGGTCCATCACCTTCATCAGGTAGCGGTCCTCGATGGGCCGGGCACACCCAGCACACACCTCCTTCGATGTCCGGCCGATACCTGTTGAATTGAGGAATGGGAGAGCCTCGTTGAACAGGTTTTTATCGGCCAAATATAAACCACCTGGGGATTTGGTAACTATAATAGAACCCATGTATGTTACATGACGTGTCAGCTGGTAGCCTGTGCGTTGGTAACATGATAGCTTGATACGAATACGCTACAGATCACAAATGTTTTCATAGCCAAAATAATATAAAATATATAATATAGTATATATAGTATATTGTAATTTCCTTTGTGTACATTTTGTGTGATTGTTGGTCGAAGAAACAAGATATATAATGTTTCATTTATTCAGGGTGACTCTTTTCGGTATGTCGTCACCAGCACCACGAACTGACACCTAGTTGTGCGTGGGGTGATCTCATTAATTTATTCGTCTTTTAGAGAACCGAGTTATTTTCGTTTTTACGAACTGGCACCCGGCCATATGCAGTGCAGCACTTCTAACGCGCACTCCGTGCATTTTCGTTTTCATGAACTGATACCAATCGTAATTTCACCAGTTGAAACGACGTTTCAAAGAGGTTTGGTGCAGTGCTCCAAGTATACTGATGGATTAGGTTCATGTCAAACTTTTCGAAGCATTTTTCTTCATGCTGTATTGTGACACTCACTTGCAGGTAAGTGCCAGGTCGTGGTGTCGGTGATGATATTATAGAAAGACCAATTTCGAATTCAATGCCATTTTTATTTTAAAAATCGTGTTTTGCTGATGTTTTTTATTTATAGGTCAAACCAGAAGGGGTAAAACAGTAAGACCCGCCGATGTCGATTCGCAAGTGTAGAACACAAATTTCTGTGAGTATGATACTTCTGCCATATCAGGATTTAATGGAGAATACTCTCAACATTGGCAAATTTATATAGTCGGGGGCAAGGAGGTTTAAAATCTTCGTAAACAAGGGTAAGTCAGAATGACATGATCGTAAGGGACTGTTCATTTTAGCAGATCCAACCAATCATAGTCTGGTCAACGCAGGAGCGATGCACAGAGAGGCCGGGCCTAGACATTCTAATATGAGTCCTAATATTGCCATGTTGTGACAGCCGCCAGTCGCTATCGATGTTTACCCAGCGTTTGATAGGTGGGTTATTGTTTGAAGAGAGCGCCGCGGCAAGGCCCGTCCGCGCCGGATCGCGCGTACACGGCATACACCGCAGTCTATATGCGCGTGTTTGCGCTCATACCCCGGGATCTAGTTTTCCAACAATGGGATGGTACCCTGAGACCGGCTGAGGAAAGGGCGAGTTTTCCTACCTATCAGCGGCTGGGTCCTGGCCCTCTTCCCGACCGCCATCAATTGGATCTTCGGCGGTTGTGTGGGAAAGTGGTTTCTCGGCGTTAAACTGTGGTTATTGGACTTCTTTTTTACCAGTGTCTTGGTATAAAAGTGATAACAGCCTGTTTGACTAGGGGACCCTCCACGTGTTTGTTGGCAAACTGATTGAGCGTTCCATAAGCACCCTTCACTATGGTATTCGAGCAGTGTCCAAACATGTGTAGCACGAGTATAGGGACGTTTTGCTCTAGTGAAGTTCATTGTGTGATACGGTGTGTACTGGTGTGGGAAAACTACGCTACAGATTAAAAAATTGTCTACATTTGGTAACACATGGTTGTTTTCATACCGGTCATCTCAAAAATGAAAACAATTTGGTAGGTTTTTGTAAACAGTCTTCTTAACCTTGCGCACTCAATATTGGTAATTACTGAATCAGCCCACGAAGGGCAAGGCTCCGATTTCCCATGAGACCTTGCGATAACTTGCTGAGCACGTGTCCGTTATAATCGTGCATTGCGTGGCCCCGGACAGAATGAGAACTAGAGAGGAGGTTGGGAGGTAAAATCTCGCCTTGGAGCGCTCCGAAAACGACGAGTGCATCGGTTCCTACGACGCAGATCTGTGGGCCTCTGGTGGGCTTTGTGTACTCAGGTGGCGAGGTACGAGACGTGCCAGTTTCTCTTACATCCCTTAGGAGATGCGGGAGACGGGGCGGCGCGCGTCCCGGATGCGGCGGGCCGCGGCGGGAACGGCAACGGAGAGGCTCGCCTATACACGGCGGCCTCCATCATCTATACCGGCGCGCTCGCGTGGCGCTGTTATACAGAAATCCACCCCGGTCTTGTGTACCACATCGACCCTTAAACCCACAGTGCACGATACTTCGGCAGAGAAAGAGAGCCACAGAAAAGAAAAGGAAAAAAATCGTGCATGTCTTTTACTGCGATGTTATCGGGCAATGTATGCCAAACGCCGGATGAGTTTTAATGAGATGCTGTGTTTACTTTGCGGAACCCGACTATTATTTTTTCCTCCGTGGTTGAAAGTCTAAGGCGGCAAGACGAATTTTGGACGACACGGGTTGGAAACTGAATAGGTCTGCAGCTTGCTCTCAAATCATACATACGCACCGGACAGGCAGTATGAAATCAATGCAAGGAATATTTTACATCCGAAATTTATTGAAAGGAAAGAAAAAAGATCAAATATTTACGGAAGGCACGCTGTGCAGATGAACAGAATGAGTCACGAGATATGCTAAGAAATAATTTCATATCGTTCCTTGGCTAATCTGCACAACAATATCATATCAGCATTGAAATCTTTTTTGTTATATTTTCCACCGAAAATCCCCATTTTTTTTTAAATTATAAATATCATTAGTTACTTTCTTTCGTTTTCTGCCAGAATGTAGGTTGGATTCTAGACTCCATAAATTTCTCGGTGTATTGGCCTGATGAGATTTGCTACATTCCTTGGAATTTGAGTGCTTACCAATTTGGATCCACATCCCCAACTTAACCATGTAGCCGTCCATTGGCAAAAAATACAGTCTGCAGAATCTAGACACACTAGTCAGTGAGCGTTTTATAGTTGTTTTGGCGTCAAGTACCAGTATACAAAGCGCAGGGCACCCGGTCTTCTCTGCATTATCCTGCCATTTTACATCCATTTGATTTCGAGGTACACCTGCTACCAAAATATAATCCCTTCTATACTGGCAAACTGTCCCGTTTCTGCATTTCTATCATCCTAATCCTTCTTAATCTCCCGTCTGTCTGCTCTCCTTGAAAAAAAACCAGACTGGTCCACTTTAGCGCTGGTGCGCGTTGGGGCATGCCTAAGCCACGAAAATATCGGTAACAATTTTTTTATGGGGGGGGATTATTGTGTGGACAGTGAAGAAAGCAGAGTGTTCCTGTGGACATTTTATCTGTAGGCCTATTGCCCGCCTCGAGCAAGGGTAAGGACACATGCACACCAAAAGTGGTGAAAGTACGTGTCGTATTGGGAGTGGTGGGTACCATTCTTTTCTGTGAAACAATTAATCAATGTACAGTTTTGCCCTCAATAAAAATATGCGAATGTTTCGCGCGAGAATTTGGCCTCAAGTTAATTGATGTTTACTCAGAAGTGCATTGCACGCTTTGGTTTTGGAGTAGTGGGGCTCATTCGCCCGCACAATGTTTTATAAAGTAAAGTGGTAACATAATTATCTAATATAATATTTTGGATTGCAGATATGAATCATTGTTTGGGATTAATTAATAGCCAGGACCTCAATGAGTTGATTGTCACCGCCATGTCTAAACAGTCGTTTATTACATACAGCGAGTTAGATAACTTTAAATACCCTGCGGCTTTTTTTTCTTCATCTATTTATAACAAAATATTCAGTTAAAAACAAAATCACACACGATCATCTGAAATATGAGAAAACGTTTACGTTCTCTGCATTATCATTACAATGTTAAAATGACATGGCAACATCCTCCGTTGTTGCTCAACCCGCGCTGTATCAACGTGAATGTTGTGTACCATGATATTCATTAACTGTGTTATTATCCACTTTTTAACTTTGGACATCTTAAATGAATGTTTCCCCGAGCTCATCGTTGGTCGTCTGTTCGCGGAACTCAATCATTAAACCGAGAAATGATTGCTGCAAAGAGATTTTTTAATCATATTCTTGAAAGCTAGGTACCGAAATGAGTTTGTGTAAAAAAAAAGGTCACACTCGTACGAAGGTGGTAAACGTTTTAAAGCTGAAGGACGACAATAAATGCAATGACCGCCGAAAAATACTCTCCACGTGTATCATTAGGTGCCCAACCCCTTCTCGAAATGGGCCGTCCAATTCGTATTCAATCTTGGGACTAAGCGCTGTCCAGAAGCAAGCTGCGTTCCCCGCTGGGAGCGTTTAGCTGCAAATTGCATTGGGATCTTTTGGTATAATTAGGATTACAACCCTGTCCGACACGACAAGGACACGAAGCGAGGTAGCACTAGGGCCGCGCAGCGTGGTCCGGCTGGCGTATCATGACGTACCGTACGTGAACCGTATGTTACCCTCGGAACATCCACAATGGCTGCATACATCGGCATTGATTTTCATGTTTTTAATTATTCTATGTGCATCTGTCCTGGGGCTTTATTCCCTCTGCTCCTTTTGGATTCGTAATTCTTAATCAGATTCACCGACAATGACTGTTGAAATGTCTGACACGATTATTCCACGTGGCCAAAGCGCTTTAAATATCATGTGGAATTAAAGTACAGTACATAGAATTGTCTTAAACATCCACAGAATGAAGCATTTTTGAGTCTGCGTTGATGGATAAAACTCTCTTTTCATACTGATGATTTCATTTTGTATGATTGGATGGATGTTGCTCACAAGTCATGTCATGCCGAGAAATTAACAAGTCCAAGTTTAATTTTCTCATTTGTTGGCTTTCTTAAAACGGTGCTACTAGTCGTTCATTTCACACTGGGGCTTATGATAAAGTCGGAATTATCCTTTTATCCTGACATTGTCTTAAATCTTGGAATTTGTGGTTTATTGGTTTGTATGTTTATACTGATTCAATGCTCTTTATTTTTACCCGGACACTGAGTGCGAGTTTGTTTAGTTTTTGTTTTCTTTTTACATGTTTTTTCTTTTGATCACGCTGTGATGTCACCCGATTTTCAAATGTGTTACTAAAAAGCGGCAATAGGTTCATGGTTTGGACGGTACTGCAAGCACGTTGGTGTTAATTTAACACCCTTGATGTTATCAGAGGACTGCACTAGACTGGGTGTAGTCCTCTGACTCAGTGTGTTAAATTAACAACAATTAAACACCGCAGTTTTTACAGTGTAACATGTCAGTAATGATTTAATCAAACCCCGGCTTCATTGGTGAAAATGAAATGTGCACGGGTCAGAGTCTCTTGAGAAAAATCAGGTGCACGAGATGATCAACTCTGAACAGAAATTTGGTTTTTAAAAATCAAAGCAGCGGGCGGTTGGAGCCCGGGCGTCTTACCCATCGGCAGGTGTTTGCACTCCGGTCCCGTGATTATTGCCTGCTCCAACTTCATGTCCATTCTGTGGTCTTCTCCTTTGAGACAGTACCGACTCCGCTGCGGCTGCTGATGGTGTCGAAGATGACAGTGACGGGAGAGTCTGACCAAAAGGGGAGGGGCATGAAGATGAAGAAATTGGAGTCAAAAATGCACTTGCGACGACTGGTTCAGGTGATAATAAGCCCCTCACAAATTTTTATTTATGTAACCCGACGGCGTTCACGGTTTCTCGACGACACGGCTGAGCAGATGTCAAAGAGTGGTTGTGTGACCAAACAAGTAGATCGATGATGACAAGTCTTCTGCGGCTTGGTCAGCTGCGAAGATACCAAGACTGATATGGAGTCCACCTTGTATAGTTAGGTCCTAGTTGGTTGGTTGGATTGCATGTGTGTATCCTAGTGATGCGGCACGCTGGATACCTCGAGTATGTGTCACCAGCCCTGATGCAGCAGTGAGACTGGCCCGTGACGGGCTGGACACCTGTTATTATCTCAACCGTAAGCCGCGCTCTCACTTTCAACTGGTGGTTGGGCCGGTGTAAGGTAATAGTGTGGTTGACGCCTCGCTGGAAGTGTGTGACAAACCGTGCCTCCACCCCTGCCGGCCGGCAGCCTTGTCTATCCGACTGTACAACAGATAATGATAGCTAGCCTGATCTAGTCAGGTCAGAGTCCCCGCCGAAGAACGGTCGGAATCTTTAAGAATTACAACAATTCTCTTGTTCCCTCTGTTAGTCCCCGAAACTGCTATCGGTTTCCACCTGTTATCCTCCTGCACCGTGGACGCGTTGTGATCGCTTTGCCTCACACGCTCCGTTCGTCATTAATTAATCCAACCAGACTGATATCTGAGTAGGTCTTGCTCCGTCTAGTAAATACCAGTAACTGTGACGAGGAGAGGACGGGAACCTTACCAAATCAAAGTCCACCCCTTCCTCCCGGTGCTTTCGTCAGATATTTTATACCCCAGTTTTTTTAAGGCTGAGCTGCGTAGTCCACTGTCCTCTCTATACCACCACTGCCAACATCACTAACCGCTCCATGATGCGGGCTTGCTCCCTCGTGCATCCAGAAAGAAAAAAGGACACAGTGCAGTTGCGCGGTGCTACTCTCGCCTCGTCTCATTTTGCGCAGCCAGTGGGATGACGTCACTGCCGCGCTGAATCACCCTGGACCGCAGCCTGCAGAGTAGGTCCTTCCTCACCACTTTTTTAATGAATTATTCATCACTGCCACGCGGGGGCCAATTGGTTCTGTACGCATGACAGTTACTGTGACGTGTTCTGATGCCCAAAAGCATCAGTTCCCGATTTTCGGTCGTGGCGACAGTGGAGTGGGAAGAAAAATAAATCCTCTCCCTCCACGATTTCCGATAAAAAGCAAGATAGTATTGCGCATGTCACTAGTCTATCTTTCCCTTGTAAACGCCAAGTGTGCAAAGACTAATTTTCTATATACCAGTGACGCACGAACACTATTTGGGTAATCGGACCAAAACCGTCTGCGCCGCGATATTGCACCGACCGGGAACAAGGGAGAGAATTTTGTCGATGTACCGCGAATCACGCAGAGTCGGCTACCGTAACACCTGCATTTGCTTTTCTTTCTGTTGACATGTTTGCGGAATGCTTCGTATTAGGCTCTGCTTCTGTAGATGTTTTTCTTAACCCGGTTCGGAAGTTACTCTCGTACAGAGGCCTTGGCAGGAAACGGTTTACACACACCTTGAACAATAGGCGAAGATTCACAGCTGTGGGATGTCGATTTTGTATTGACCTTTTCTGTCTGTGAGAGACGAGCAGCACACTGTACTCTTTGCATTTACTGTAATCATAATGAGTTGTAATCGCAAGTTAAAAAATCATTCCAATAGGAAGCCAATATAAAACAACAGCAGTAAAAAAAGTTATTTTCTCGTCTTTTGTTATTGACTTACAATGCGTCAGTGATGTGTACGCCGGTGTGGGTCAGTTTTTCTCTTTCGATATTGGAGTTATAGGTTCGATTTTGTCATGGGTTGCGCCATGACAAGGGTCCTCTGTGAGAAATCACCTCCCTAACCTAAAAGTGGCATTTTTCGTGTAACCTTCTTTCTACTTCGACTGTTAATGTTAACCTCGCTTCTCCAGAATTCTTTGGAACAACTTGAAGGTCTCTATTTTGCAGGATCCAGGAAGGTTTCTACTGCATGCCGAAAGAGTTTGGAGCAAGTGTAGTGAATTAATTTACTTTTAATTGGCGTCATCTCTCATCGAAACAAACATACATCGTCTATACATGAATTAAAATGCATCGCACGTAAACGTTGACAACAATCTCTTTACGATGTATCCAAACAAACACCGGTTACACTGCAAACAGCCCCCCTCCCCTAGAAAAAAAAGTACAGCCAAAGTAGCTGTTTTACTGCTGAGGCCCCTGTGCCAAGCTCGCTAGACCACTGTCCGCGAACCGTGCAGCAGCCGCGGTTTGCGGACGCGTACACCCCCTTCTTTGTCTCTCGGCGGCCTGGGGCACCACTGCCTAGCGCGCGGCGTCTATTGTCCGGCGTGGCAGCTGCTTCGCTGCGGGCAGGACGGGCCCCAAACGGCGGGGAGAAGTTGAAGCTTGGCCGGGTGTGGAGCCGGGAGGGGCCTCGCAATACGTCCGCCGGGGCAAGGGCTACTCTCGTTTCAGAAAAAAAGGGGGGACCCGCATTTGGCAATCGATACCTCTGCATTGCAGACTGATCAACTGGCTTCATTGCAGTTTACTCTCGAGTTTGAGGAAAAGGGGGTTAGTTAACAAATTTAGGGCACTGATCACCTAACCTCAGTTAACGTTGCTGGTATTGGTGAGATTGTAAAATCAAAATCTGACTATGTGCTTTGCCCTCGGCATTGAGATTCATCTCCTTCCAACTTCTGTTGATCTTCGTCAAGGCTTAATGTGACGTAAGTATGGCTGACTGGGAAATGACTCGCACAGGGGCCGACACAGCAAGGCCGGCTGCTTCAGTCACGAAAGTCTGTGATAAACGTTTGATATACTCATTATGTGGAAATGGATTGATGATCTTCAATTCACATCCCATAATCCTCGGATGGTGTCGATGCTGTATGCCCGAGTCTTCAAGAGTCTGCCTAGACGCACCGACTCCTTCTCTTTTCTATATTCTACCAGAAGTTTGACTGCGTCCAGATACCGGAACGCGCGAGACCGGCACGGCGGTCCAAGCTACAGCCTCACCGCGGTACACGCCCTCTCCAACCACCCTACTCGATACACTCCACTTCAAACACTGGAGGGGAAAAAGTGCACGCCCAAGCAAGAGGAGAAAATATCTCCCCCCGATTTTGTGTCAATTGTCTTTCCCTCCCCTCTGCACGGCCCCTTGGACAACAATTCACCCGTCTCCACACGGGCCCAGTAACCGGCACGAGTTATACACTGCAATGGTAAACAAATCCCGGGCGAAGTGAGGTGCTGGAACGGGAGCCACGTGGCCCGTTTGGGGGAATGGCAAGGGGGAGACAAGTGTTTGTTGGCACAGGTGCCCCTTTGACGGTTGCCAGGACAACCTTAAGTCACGTGGTACGCCGAAACGTCAGATAGGAAATAATGAAGGGGCTCGGCCGGCGCAGGCTCTGGTTTGATCGTAATCACTTGTCAAGCGCATTTGTTTGTGTCATTTATTTGTAGTATTGTTAAGAGTTGCTGGAAGACTCGGCATTTTTCTCAGTGTGCTTTACAGATTCACCACTTCGGAAAACGGAAGATGAAACCGCAGATATTAAATGAGATGGTATAGAATCTCCACGATCAAGACAGTTTTCGTTGACGTTTTCTGGGGTTTCCCTTATTCGATTGCCTCAGCTGAAGACGAACTTTGACATGGACGTCTTTACCCTGGTTCTGTGGCTTGTCATTGAACAAAAAGTAACAAAATTGAACAGCTAGCAGCAGCTGATCGTTGCTATCACTGCTATTTTGCTTGCCTCCTCTGACAACTAGACTGGTACCAGATCTTTCCTTTCAGAATGCATTTAAAAAAGTTGAGGGGATCTGCATATTTTGATGTGATTTCGAGTAGTAACTACCAGTGTTCTTAATGGGGCACGAGCCCAGAATCGGCCTGTACACATTTTCAGCCGGCTCAGCCTGTGCAATCGATCGCCAGGAATCGATATGTTGTCGACCATCTCTCCTTCTCTTTCCTGTTCTTTCTTCCTATCCCTATATCCCTCCGTCCCAGCACCGTCTAAACATGAGCCTGCAATCGTTATGGTTTCGCATTGATCTGCTGGGGGGGTCCATCTACCGGGGCTGGTATAACATCTCTCGCCCACCGAGTCCCAGTATAGCCCGGTAGATCATATCGGTATACAATGCCACTCTCTCTGTAGTCTTTTTTTCCCAGCGAGATGAAGACATGGTTTTATTATACACGTATTTGTATTGATTGGTTCCAGCGCTGGCGATGATATATTCAATAGGGCATCTCTTGAACCGCTATATTAGGCTGTCGCTCATGACTGTGGGACGAAATCACTATGGGGCGTTGAAAACCCGCTCAGAAGAAGATTTGGACGCATAAAGGCCAGTTCGTACTTAGCTTGGAAGCAAATACGAACGCTAATTTGTGACGTCAGATCAAAGGTTCGCTTTGCGAATTCGTAAAAGTTGAACGCAGCTAAAATTTCGCTGGAAATTTTTCGTGACTTCAAATTCGTCTCGCTTTCGCATTCGCCCGCAGTGTGTGAAACGCCCATAAGAATTTCTTTATTGAAATGTCATCCGTGATCCTGTAATTTACGTCAATAAACATAAAGTGCTTGAAACTATGAAGTCTCTGTGCGCTGGTTTATCATTATAATAAAGCATCTCAGCTCCCGTGGAGTATACTGGTCAGATGCTGCCATATCAGGTACAAATGGCTGAAGATGATAATCATATCTGCCCTCGCAGGTACCCATTTACTCCTAGATGGAGAGAGGCACATGGGGATCAAGTGACTTGCCCAAGATCACAACATGCTGCCATCAGCTGGATTCGAACCCCAGACCCTTTGATCAGAAGCTACAAAGACTAAGCACTAAGCCCTATGCCCCACTCTGGTGTTGTGATGCTCGTTTTGAATGGATGATTAATTTGCTCAGTACTGGGCAACTTTCATGACTTCACCATCACAAGGCTTAGGACTAGGCGAATTTAACCTCTAATACTGCGGTTTTGATGAACGTGGGTTTGCTGTGACAAAGCGTAATAAAAACGTGTATAGGCGCCTCGAGCTGGACCAAAAGAGGGAGCATTTCTCTTAGCGACGGAGGCTCCTTTGGTCGGAACTTAACTTCTCTGGTTCATGAACGACTATGGCGTTACAGTCGCATCGCTACCAACAAAATGAACACTCCCGTCCAATCCCCTCGAGCAGATGCACCCCCTCATCGGTTGAAAAGAGACATATTGGTGGGGAGTGTTCATTTTGTATGTAACAGCGCGATCATATCTACGTGTGCATTTCATAGATGTTCGTGAACTAGCGAAGTTCAGTTCCAACCAATGGAGCCTCTGTTGCTAAGAAAATTGCGCTCTTTCTTGGTCCAGCTCGAAGCTCATATGGCTCTTTTAAACCAACGAGGGGGTGCTTCTGCTCGAAGCGGATAGGCTGCGTTTTTCTTGGTGTAGGACTTGTAGACTTAGTGCACGTGAATCGGCAACCCGCGCTGTCTCATCCCTATCACTCTTGATGGAAATCTCTTTCCCGATGTACAAAATGTGTCTTTAACCGGAGAATAATCCCCCATACATCCCGAGGCGTAGCCTACTTGACCAAATTGTTGTCACTGCCGGAACCCCCCCCCCAAAAAAAGTTCGATATCACTATAGGGGGAAACAAGAGGATGGGAATCGACAACTGCACGTTTTTGCGCCTCTTCGATCAAGCCTCAAGTAGTCTCTACGAGTCTCGGCTGGGGGGACCTGCACAATCCCCTCTGTCACTCTTGTAGAACTCGACAACTGTCCCTCTGTCTCCGTAATCTTTCCTCCACGCGGCACCGTGACTGG